AAATCTGCAGAAACAAACCTCTTTAAAGTGTTGAAAAACATGTCATCTTGAGTTCTAAATTGTGCTTGATCAAAGCCATTCTATTTTCAATTGTGTTTCCATCAAGAAGAGGGAGGAATTGGTGCATTTGAGTTGCGGTGTTGATGAAGAATACTGACAGTGTCATGGACTCTAACAAAGGAGCCAATAAAGCTTTCTTGGAAGAGCTGGAGCTGGAACACCTGAGAGGCGGGTTTGGGAAGACTTTGTCTTTTGTACTTTGGACATGTTAGCAGGAGGAACCAGTCTCTTCAGGAGGGCATCAAGCTTGGTGAAGCAGAGAGGCAACACCAGGGAGGAAGGACCTCCATGAGAGGGACTGACACAGTGGCTGCAACAATGTTTTCAAACAAAAGAGCAAGTGTGAGGATGACACCAGACTGCTTCTTAAGTTGCACATAGGGTTGCTTTGTGGGGACTAAGCTACTAAAATGCACTTTAATCAAAGGAATATATGTTTTACTCTAAAAATCTTTAAGGATTATCATTTACTTTTGAAATTCTTTAGTCATCACTGAAAAACCTATTACATTTATAGGTAACTGATATTTTAGCAATTGTTGCCTAAGCCCGAATGAGAAATATTTCATTGTGGGAAACTGAAACTGCAAGATGCTGCCAAACACTGAAATCATTATAGATCTCAAATCTAGTAGTAAATGGGACGGGCAATGCTTATTTAAATGTATATTAATTTTTATTATGTTATATTTATAGATAAAGTTTTAGACTCAACATGTTTGCGTGTTCATTTGTTTTCAGGTCTCAGATAGTTTCCTAGGCTTTTGAAAATGTGTAGGCTCAGAATGCTTTTTGGTGCCTACTGGAAAAAAATGACCTTTTTCTAAATATTCTTTTGTTAATTCTTATTATCATATAATCAGTGAAATCATTATAATTGACATATTTTTATTTTTATTTATATTTCAAAACAACTTCAAATGTACAGAATAGTTCCAAATACTATGAAATGCATTTTATTGAACAATTTCAAAGAAAGTTTATAGCATGGTATCCCACCATCCTAGTAGTATTTTGTGTATATTTTCTATAAAGGCATCCTATAAATCACCCCTACACAATCATCAATATCAGAAGAGTAACACTAATGCATCATTTTCATATAATCTTCAAAATCTGTTCAAGGTTTTCCAATGGTTTAAAATGTCTTTTTAACATAATAATGAAGTTCAGAATTATTTATTACTCCTTTTATTCTCCTACAGGTTAGAATAGCCCCCCTCTGGTTCAAAGATCTTCATGAATTTACAAGTTACTTTGAAAATTACATGAGAGTTGTTTGGTGGAATTCTCCCTGACTTAAAGTTGTATGATAAGTGTACTTGCTTAGATTTAGTTTTGCATGTGTGTGAGAAGCATCCCAGAAATGATGCTGTGTTTTCATGGCAACATATGAAGTAATACACATTTTCCATTTGTTTTTTTCCCAAATGATTCACAATTTGATTATATGACTAAATCAGCCTTTATTAAGCCTTTTCACTAAAATACAAAATAAAACTACAAAAATACACAAATTGCACTTTTGTTATGCTTTTTTTAATTGGAAGTTAATATATCTCATTCCATAGTTCAATCACATCAAGCAGCGTTGTACAATTGCTGCCATTCGTTTCCTTCCTAAACTCCTTGAAATTGGCTCCCCTTGATTCCCGCCCCCCATTTCCACCACCACTATACACCCCCACCAGAAACGCGTATTCTACTTACTGTCCCTATATTTTCATCAATTCTGGGTTTCGTATACCAAAGAAAACCCCAGAAATTCAAGATGGTGACTATCAGTGACACAATACATCTTAGATAAACTCTGATATGAACAAACAAAAAGCAAATATAGAAAATGTTGAAAATGAGATCATGTCCAATGTGCAAAAGAGGGGGAATCAACTGACAATGTTTAACCATTCAAGCCAGGCTTATCCCTTTGATCTTCTATACTCATCACTCCAGTGCACTCTGTTTAGTAACTGCTTCGCTTCCACCCTTGTGCTATGTATACAGGGCGATCACCAGAATCTTATTTCCTATGTAGTTCCCACAAATGTATCTTGGGCTCTCACTGTCATCGATAGCCTTCTGCAACACGGATTCTCATAATTTAGACTCTGGAACTATTCCTTCCTTTGACTTTGGATTACCGTATATGATTTACAATCTTTCAGTGACTGATATTGTGTA